TAAAGGAGTAAATATAATACACATACATTTGTACATACATGTATGTGTACAAAATATAATACATGTGGACATGCATGTATACATTTATATGCTTGAATGTTAATGTCAGCTAATGTACAGTATAGTACAAGATATAGTACAGTATAGAGGGAGAGAGAGGGGGGAGGGGAGAGAGGAATGAAGAGGAGGTGGTGTGCATGAACAATTGAACATAGAAGGATACTAACTGGAGTGATATTGAAGTTTCTGTTCATGCCTTTACTGACAAAAATAATGTTATCATGAGAGAGCATGACACCCTATAGAATCAATGAAGAAATGAAAAAATTAAATACAATTACATCATGTACATTTACATGCACTGTAATCACAAAAACCCAGAGTTGAACCAGCAACCTTACATTCTGAAACTGAAGATGAACAATAAAGCTATTTTGACCATTCTAAACACAGGTGTACATAATACTGCGATAAATAAGCGTATCTATAATGGTAATATATTAGTGATAGGCATTTATTTGAGTAGAGCCCTATTTGAGGAAAAAGCATATGATTTTAAAATTGTAATTGCCATGGAATCAACAACCATGCACTATAAGAACCTCATTCCTGTACACTCACACATGTACATGTATGTGTAATTAAACTATAATAATAATATTAAAATTAAAGTGTACATCAATTGTAGTAATAGTACACATACTTTAGGAGGTCCAGTGGTGCCTGATGTGTATACGAGAGTGGCACAGTGTCCTGGTTTAATGGCTGACACTCTATCACTTAACACATCATCCTTCACATCCTATTAATGAATAAATGGAAAACATAATACAATTAATTACTACATGACAAAATGCCTCTATTTTTATAATTGTTCTCAAATCAGCTCAGACTTAATATCAATATGATAGGTATACATATACATGTACAAGTATACATGTAGGGTCTTTGGACAAAATTTGAATGATTTTAAAATCAAAATCAGCATACTGTATAGCTGGAAATATTTGCTGGAATTTAATTTTGCTGTTTGCTGTTCATCATAAAAATGCACAATTTAATTCCGCAAAGCATTATAAGTAATGGGTGTATCAACAGTACACGCCTACACCAGTAAAATTAAATTCCACAAACATTAAAAATAGCTATATTGGTACAAAATCGCAAAATATAATTCCCGCAAACTTTTCCAGCAATACAGTATATAGCAAAAATTGGTTTTTCTGATCAAACAAAATAAGTTATATTTAATGGTACCATATCCTACTATACAGGCCATTATCATCCCATACATATTTCATCCCATCATGGATCAGTTAAGAGGCAGTGAGACACAATAAATAGCAAAATAAAGTGAAGAATTGATCATAAGTAAACTAATACTACCAGTCAAAGTATTATTAAATAATTTATGAACCATAGCAGCATCTTATGGTAAAATGTTTAGACTGAGATATAGATTAATAACTGTTAGTATATGCACCATAGAGGAACACATTTAAGCATATATTATGTGTTTGTAGGTACATTGTACATTTACATGCTAGGACAATACAATACTATAGCATCATGTACATGTACTAGGAACAATTGAGCTGCTTTTGTGGGTGTAAATGAATCATTGATCAATATACTGTACATATCTTGATAACCCATTTTACCCTTAGCTAGTGTTTCTCTCCCTCTCCCTCTCTCTCTCTCTCTCCCCCCTTTCTCTCTCTCCCCCTTTCTCTCTCTCTCTCTCCCATTTTCCCCTCTCTCCCTCTCTCTCTTTCTCTCCCATCCCTCTCTCTCTCCCCCTCCGTCCCTCCCTCCCTCTCTCTCTTACCTTTCCTTCCTCCATGAATTCCTCCCAGGTTATTACTCCTTTCTCTCTCATTTCAGTATCCAGTGGCTCCTCAGTCTCCGGAAGGTACTTCACTATCTTCTTCAAAAGAGGCAAATTATCCTTTATCTATAAATTACCAACAACATAATAATAACAATATAATATAATCACCATTAAACTACATGTACATGTATATACATGTACTACATGTACATGTATATACATGTACTACTGTACATGTACATACATTTATTGATACATACATGTATATAGTACATGGGTGTATCTATATATAATGTATAATAACATATATTAAAATAGATAAATTATACATAGTTGTTGGTCTATAGAGAGTATGTGTATCATGACAGAGGGTGCCTTGACCTAATCCTAATGCATAACAAATAAACAAAAATTCACTCCAACTTCTAAACAAGTGAAAATCACATTAACTGTGTAAACTGGTACATTAAAGTGAGTGATCTCCAACTATCTGTAATGAAATATGTGGAATTGTGGACCCTAATGAGGCATGACACTACAGCCAAGACCCAAAGCCAATTACTACAGGACCTACTAGGAATATACAACCACTGCCGGTGGTGGTATTAGTAATATCATGTACATGTACTATACACAATGTGTTCATATGTACATGTACATACATGTCTAATTATGTATAGAAAGACTGATAAATGAAGCAAGTCAATTAAAGGCCTTTTCACTTTAGATCAAAAATTAAGATAAAATCCTACAACAGGTGTCTTAAATCAGGAATGAAGCTAGATCCAGTCAGTCCACATCCAGAGGTGCACTGCATGGTTTGAGGTGGATTGATCTTAATTAAATATTCATAACCTGTAGAAGCCAATGCAGTTTAATTCACTTTTATTTCTTTTAAAGTAGATTTTAATGTCAACACAACCAAAGAGGATTCTATTTTAGCAGGTTGCAATCTTGGATCCAAAGTGGACAAGTCTAAAGCCCAATATACACTACAGGCAACATGTTGCCAGCCTTAGATCTTTTTTTCAACCTTGTTGAAAGGAATAGAAAGGTTTTCTATTCAAGGCAACATGTTGCTTGACCACATGAAAGCAGGATCAAAGGCTAGGCAAATGTTGAAAGCAACATTGTTGAATGTAGTGTATGCTGGGCTTAAAAAGGCCTTTTAGATACATGCATATAACAGCACATGATTAAGTGCACTTAGTACATGATTAAGTGCACTTAGTACATACATGTACATGTAAATGATGAGAGGGTAAACCTTATCCATCATCTTTCTTTATTGATACATGTACATGTACAGTAGAAATGTTTTCTCAAGGGATTACAATGATATTATTCATTTGATTATCATATATCTCTTCCCGTGTGTACAAAACATGAGACTGTCAAGGAAATGAAGGAATCAATACAAAGTCACTCTATTAGCCAGTGACTTATGTGCATGTATAGTACATGTGTATGTTTGAAAACAAACAAAATTATTATTAAATTCTACTCATAGTTCAACTATTGATATAATTATTGCTACATCATGTGTATACAGTGAGCACATAATAAAGGTATCCTATATACTACACCTACACATACAGTACAAGCAGTAATTAGGTTATGAAGGATCACTGTAATAATAATAATGTACATTACAAGTATGTGTAGTGACAATGCCACTATTTATGTGATTGAGTATTATTATTATTATTATTGTTACCTGGAGTATCTTATTCAGTTGTGTCTTGTTCTCACAGACAATGATTTGAGAGCGAGAGTTAGTAGCAATATGTTGACACGTCTCTATAAAAAGAGGAAGAGAGAGAGAGGGAGGGAGAAAACAGAAAGGGGGAGAAATAAAGAGATAGAGAAAGATAAGATAACACCAAAAAGAGGTGTTTAAAGACAAAAAACATGAGAAGCAGTAAGATCTGAAGCATAATAGGGCAAGTTATTATGCTGGCATTATTGGAGCATAATGGATCAATTTCTGGTCCTATACCCTTACCACACGATTTCTCAATTCCATATGGCAGGTGGTACAAGTACTAGTACAACAACCCAACTGCCTAGTACCCACCTATACAAGTGTGGTGAGTCCAATGACTGAGACTATTCTATTGTCCAGTGACTCAAAGTTGCTGGAAACATTTTCAGATTCTGGCGTTATTACAATATTCATTTTTATTACAATCATAATAGATACATGTACATGTACATGTAACTTAATTGATTGTTGATATTTGAGTAAAGCTTTAACTATGAGCATATAATGAGCAGGTAATAGTCAAAGGATAATAGGATGGAATTGGGGCAGTGCCTAAAAGCATAATTGAAGCATAATTTACCTATCAAAAATAGGGATAGATGGGTGGGACAAGAAGGAGATCACACAAACCTCCATGAAAAACAATCCTCCCTCTGTTACAAAATAAGCAATGGGATATTAATAGTACTATTAAGACAGATACATGTACATGTAGTCGGTTACCTTTATTGTTAGTAGTATAGACACCAGCAGCAATACCACCAGCCTAACAAACAAACAAACAAACAAACAAACAAAATAATAAAACTTGAATATACTACATCAAGTATTGTATTACATTAATGAATAAGAATTGAACATGTACATGTATGTACACAGCATGTTATCATCCAATACTATGTATGGGTGCAGGCACTGTATGGTATTAACACAGGAACAAACCTAATGACCTCAAGAATGAATGGAGGGTTACAATAGTGACACACAACATCTAGTGAACATTAGAAATGTACTGGTACATTAAGAACAAGAAAGACATTATGTACTTAACAGTGCTTTATTATAGGGAGAAAAGCATAAAAGGAGGCGCTTAGGTGTTACAGCTATTTGCATAGACCTTGCAAACTGCCAAGTAGGTGGTAATATGACCACACAATGCAAGACACACCTCAATTTAGACAGTCACCTTTGAAGTTCATAGAGTGGTTTATGAATTGGTTTGCAAGGTCTGTGCAATTTGCTGTACTTATTTGATTTGAATGAGCATACAGGTGCTATAACTGATGTATATGTACATACCTAGGTACATACATACCTAAGTACATACATGTACATCTCTCTCTCTCTTACCATTATAGTTCCCATGAAAGTCATGGCCCATTCAGGTGAGTTGAACCCAATAATAGAGACACCATGATGTGGCTCCAATCCAATAGCAATACAGCTCTTAGCCACTCTCTGTACATCAGCATGATACTGAGTATACTTCCATGTCTTCCATTCGCCTCCTCTCTTCACTTTCAGAGCTGGTTTAGCTCCATGCTGAGACACTATATCATTGAGCGTGTCTAGTATAGTAACTGGAGCAGGATCATCTTCAGAGCTGCCACCCTACAGCGGGAAAAACACGTGTCAGCATGTCTTGTCTATTTTACAAGCTATTAAAAATTAAATACACACAAGAAGCGGCTCGGTTCAGTTACAAACCTGTATCTGTATCTCTCCTTCTGGTTTGACCGTCCACTTACCACTAGGAACAACACTTGCTGTTGCCATTTTACTTTTGACTCAAAATCCGAAATAAATTCCAGGCTCGCCCCACAAACAATAATTTAGCAAGTTATGTAACCAGTCAACGCCCACTCATTTGAGCCACACCTAATGCTAGCTTTTGCCTGTTGCAAATGATACTTGTTGGTATCCTGTCCCTATCTTGATGAGGGTATATATGCAGAGCCAACCTTAAAGCTAGTAGATTGGTGATCGCTTCATTTCTTACTGTTTTTATCCCATAATCACCTTCTACTTCATCATAATTATCCTATAAAGGTGAGTATGTAGCATTATTTCTTGCAAATTATGGCCCAAACCACAGTGGATGATCAATGATCTTTTAAGTTCAAGATATTATTTTTGATAATTTCACAAAACCAAAATTGTTTCAAAACTAGTATCCAAATAAAATGGCCCAAAAGTCTCCATTTTTAGTAATCAAGTAAAAAACATTATACTCTCAATTGTTAATGCATAAACTGACTACCTAGCTCAGTTCAGTTGCAAAAAATACAAAGCATTGGCCAATCAATGCCATATTCACGGCTACAGAAGCAAATACCTTGTCCATCATCATTCTTTTGTCTCTTGTAGTCATCAAGCCAAGCACTGCAATAAATGAAGCACTATGGTGCAATGGACTCGCCTGCTGGAATTCACTTGAGTGATATGTATTACTTGTACTGTGATATTTTAAGCAATTTGAAAAAAAATTATTATTATGGACTGCATAGTTATAATGATAATTAAAATAAGCTATGGGTGTGGTCAACAACTAACTAGCTAGCTAAATCATGGCACATGGGTAGGAGAAAGAAGAAAAGCTGAAATTTATTTTAGCATCTGAAGCTCTATTCCAAGAAAGAGTTGGCACAGAAATTTTTCTAGATATTTAAAAGAGACTGAGAGAGTTTGGTTGCTCCTGCTTTCCCCAGTGCCGCCTGAAAAATTCTCCAAGAGGCTAAATCACAAAGTTTGAGCAACTGTAACTCACAAACAACGAAGTTAGGACAAAATCGTTCTTTTTTGTTTTTCGTTAGATGGGAATTTCTACCTCTGAAGCAAATCTCGGCCCTGTAGAGTGAAACACGAGCTCTCACCTGGAGAGAGGTCCCCTGGTTTAGCAGTTCACAGCTTTTGGTGCCACGGGATGCTACAAGAGTATAATTAGATGAAAGAAAGCAACTTTATCTGTTGCTAGAAGAAGAAATAGAGCTCTAGACTGCTCAAACAAAAAGATAATTTTTTTTACAAATCAATTAAATTGTGTGGACAGAATGACTAACATACCGACATTGCCACATATATCGCCATAAGTGCATACCCTCGCCACATCTGCAACAGTTTTAATAAATTAAGAAAAAATAATTAGTGAAAGTTTTGAGACAGAGAAGAAGCTTCAGCATGTAATACATTTATTAAAACTTAGTGAATGTTTTGAGACAGAGAATGTTTTGTATTTTTTAGATAGAGAAGAAGCTTCAGCATGTTTGCTGACTGCTGCATGCTGCAGCAATGTAAAGGTGTGGCTGCAATGAAGGTGTGGCTCAATCAAGCCATGCACACAGTGATGGAGTAATGATGGGCTAAGTGGTCAAGAAAGCTTTAGTTTTTCTTGACTTTTAAACAGTTTAGCATACAATTGTTCGGCTCTATTTGTTGCATACAAACTTCTATTGAGTCCCTGATGTTTAAAGACTCTGTCCGCTACTTCTGGAGAAGAGAGCCTTGCCACAAGGTATGAATGTTTGGGCTCTCATATCTTGAAAACGAAGATGATTGGAGCAATTTCTTACATTATAATAAAAGATAAAGTTTTGTTCTATTGCTTCATTAGTTTTTTGCTATGATTCCTTTCACGATGAGAGAGTTGTGCGAGTGCCGACCTAAGTTTAACAACTTTGTTAGCTTTTGCTCCGGCGGAAAAGTTAAATGAAGCAGTAGGCTGATAGGAACAAACTTTTCCTAGCTCTAGTGTTGATTATAAGACTCTTAAGAACTCAAATAGAAAGCAGCAGAGGCTTGAAAACAGATTTGGCTTGGACACACACACTGACAGGACGACTGCTTTACCCTCGCTTCCAAGCCTACGCGTGGGCTCGGGTAATGACAACCCAACTGCTTAGTACCCGCCTACGCGAGTCCAACAAGAAAATGATGTGTATAAGTGTCAAGGCATTGTCCAAGTTATTGGGAGAGAAAGCGGTTGTATGGGGATAGTCAATAAAGTAGCGGCTATCAACAAGTAATTGTCTACTTGGGTTCAAGTTCAAATAACTTGTGAAATTAATCCTTTTAATTAATGCAAAAATATCAAAAAATGGCCTAAAAACAAAACTACTTGTAAAAAATTCAAGTTCACGACCTGACTAACTCAGACCAGTTTAGAATTAGTTGCAAAAGATGGAAAGGAATGGCTTATCAGTGCTGTGTTCACGGCTACGAAAGCGAATATCCCGTCCATCATCATTTTCATTTGTTGTCCATATAACAACTCCATAATTTTCCTCTCCATTCTTCCAGTTTTGTGCTGCTTCAGTGATATCCAGTTGAAGCCATGGTTTAGTAGGAGGGAAGATAACAGTGTCCAAAGTATTTGGATTTGCATCAGTCCCATCAAGAGCAAGATAAGGTTTGCTCCATCTTATTCCAGTCTTGCGATAAGTACTTGTTGCCTGCGACTCTGTCCAGTCTTGTTTGACCTAAAATAACAAATAATACTTGTCAATTATTTCAGGCTACTTCTCCTCTCTTTCCCTTTCTTATTATAATAACCTGATGGACTTGAACTGTCCTATTGATATTAACTAAAGTTTTTATATAGCTGGCTTTGTGTGAATACCAATACTTCAAGTAAAGTTTTGCTGAAACAATTTTATCACATTCTGTAGGTATGTCATCAAACTGAATGAGAATCCTTTTCTTGACAAAACCAGGATGCTTGCCAAATATAAGAAACTTGTAAAAATTAAAGTTAGTTGAGCCTCTCTCTAGTAAAATATCTTTTGTTGCATTAAGACAATAAACCGGCCCATTGCCACTACAAGGGCCTTGACTCTCGGAATAGCCTATGATATATAGTATGAGCAGGAAGAGCACTTTACACAAATAAACATTAAAAGAGCATACCAGTAAAGCTAAGCACTGCAATAAAGAAAATGATGTGAAAGTATCGAGGCATTGTCCAACTTATTGGGCGAGAAAGCAAATGATGATAGATCTAGGCTCGTCCAAGTCCAACTATAATTATTTCCTATACAATCATAGATCGATCTCATGCTATATGGGCAGGCTCCTGCGGCGCTGGATTCCTTAATCAATAGAGCTCAATCAGGCCATATGATCAGGCTCAATAGAGAGCGCCCCGCAACAATCTCCGGATTAAAAAATCCACCCAGATTTTGTCTGGTTGCATAGATAATTGGATCGTACTTGCTTGGGCTCGCCCTTTTATTGTCTTACATAGGTGCACATATGCTACTGACTATGTAAATCAATCATACAAGTACCAGCAGAGACTTAGTGCATATTCGGTGCATATTATTCATGCACACAATTCATAATCACTATAGATCTAAATCACTATAAAAAGAACAGAACCAGTTGTAAGCTATTACAAAATTAAAAAAAAAAGATTGAGTAGGATTCAGTGTATCAATTTATCAAAAAAGTAATGGAAACAAGGATAAGTAGGATTCCAAACGACCAATTATTTTTAGAAAGAACCAAACCAGTTGTGTCTAAACATATTTTTATAATAACATGCTTTACTTAATGTTAAGGTAGTTTTAATTTTAGGATTCGTGCAAGATTTTTTTGTTACATGCATGCCAATTAGTAAATTACAGTTGTAATGAGTGGCATTTGTACTTGAATTTAGTTTCAATGATATCATTATAGGTAGTCTAATTATAACAACACAA